ACAATAAAAAATAATTAAAAACAAAACAAATGGCTTGAGGCACCGCTTTTCATGGATTGAGCCAGCAGCAGCCCAGCAGTGTCCTAACGGGACCTCAGGGATCCTGTGCAGAGTCAGGGACTTGCAAATGTTATTAGTGCCCCACGGAGGGCAGTTTGACAATAAGCATAAACGTCCATCCCGCATTTACCTTTGACTCACATATGCAGAGAATTACATTTCTGTAATTGGTTACACAAATGTAGGACAGAGGTTGGAAGCAGCCCACAAGTCACTCAGGAAAGGCTTCTGGTAGGCTGAGAAGAGCCCAGGGCTTAACTACACACCAGAGCAGCACAGAGGGCGCACCACGCTTGGTGTGAAAAAAAACATTGGGAAAATAAGAATATACATTCGAGTATGCTTGCATTCCCAAGAATGGAAGAATATATTAAGAAATTAAGTCTGAAATGTTATCTGTGGAGTGGGCTGGGAGAACAGGGCAGAGTAGAGATGGGAACGGGAGTGAGGTTTTACACTCTACCTTTTTATATGGTTTTGAAAACGCTGAAACCCATATTATCAATTCAGCTTCTAAATGAATATGCTATTAGAGAAAATGCAAAGAAAAGGAGGCCATCCTATTTTGTGCATAGTCCAAGCAATGGGAGAGATTTAACTGTCACCTGGTCCAAGCTCATCATTTTATGGACGAGGAAACCAAGGCCAGTGAGGTGACGTGACAGTGAGAAAATACCGTGAGAGCAATGGGACTCCAGGGCTCGACTTCCCCAGCAGGGGAAGTCTGGTCTCAACTTGTCTCCTCAGTCATCTTCCCGGCCTCCTCCTCCTCAGCCTTGCCCTCTGAGGGTGGGGAGCCCACCTGGCCTCACACCAGAGACAAATCGTTGTCAGCACTGGTTTCCTGCCCACATGGCCCTCCCGTGTGGAACCCCTGGCCTGAGGCTGTGGCTTCATGACCTATGTCTGGCCTTTCCATCTCAGGGCCTCTGGCCTGTTTGCAAGCATGTGTCCCAGATGCTGACCTCTGCCAAGGTCATCTCTCTGTTGGCCACTCAGCATGTTCTCACCAGAGGAGCCCGGTCAACACGAGAACATTGCTTTCTGAGTACAAAGGCGAGAACATAGCAGTAATTCTATGACCTTGTGAATGGTCACTGACGGGCTATGAAATCTGACGCACTCTCTGCCATTTTTTACACATCTATCTGGTGGGAGGAGAACGGCTCCTGTCAGCCAATCAGAGCATCTGCGCATTTTGTGAAAAATCAGACTACTGGATCCATATGTGCGCCTTTCTTTACCTATGTCATACTTGAATAAAATGTTTTCTTAGAAGGAGTTTATCCACAAGTTGTTGGTATAAGTCCTCTTAGGGACCGTCTGTCCTATTAGAAATGTCTTACTCCTAGCTTGAATTCTCTACATGCTGTCACAGCCTTCTCAGAGGCAGGATCATTTTTGTTCATGCTTCTTGTTTGTGTGGCCTGCAGGGTCTTGTTTGCAAATGGGAATTGGGTAGAACATAAACCCTTCATAGGCCCCTTATGAAAAGACGACCCTCTTTTTGGGTGTGACGCTGCCCTAGGACCGCAGCACTCTGCTCCTATTGGCAGGAGGTCAGAATTCACGCGAACCTGCAAGCCGTTCCTGCATGAGCATCCCCGGCGTAATCCCCTGGCTCTGCACCCATCAGAGAGCCAAGATTATACAATGGGACGTTTCACCAGGGGAGCAGGAGGAGGGTCTGTGTACTCACATCTGTGAGGTTGACTTGCAGGACAGAGCTGATGTACGTTGGTGTGTACGCCATCTTGATGTAAAAATACCAGTATTCACTGAAGTGAGACACTATAATGGCCCAAAGGGGGAGGGACTTCATCATAGCCTTGATGGGGACAGACCAGTCTGGCACGAAGTCCTGGAAATAATCAGAGAGCATGTCCCGTCGGTCAGAAGAGAAAAGTTTTACGCTACCGCACGCTTCCCCTCTGACACATCCACACAGACACGGCGACACGGCACTGGGGAAGTTGCAGCACCTGCTGAGCCCGTGAATGCACGATGTAGTCCCTCTCGTGGGTGCTGATAAATGGATGGTCCACAGGGTCATCATAAATGAGGAGGAACCAGAGACAAGAGCAGGCACAGCCAAATCCACCTGCAAGAGGACCAGGTGACACTGGACTCGAGTTCTTCTCACTGGCTCTGCCCTGAGAGGGCCCCAGTATCCTGTCCTCCCCGCATCCACAGCCTGTGTGGCCCCATCACAGGTGGGGGTGCGTCCCCTTCACTTGACTTTGGCCTCGGCCACAGAACTGGCTTTGGCCAATGGCATGGGGCAGCTCAGGGCCTCGTATGTTTGCCCCACGTGTTCGAAAACGCCCTTGCTGGTGAGGTGCCAGTCAGCACTCCCCCAGGCTAGCAGAGGAATTAGCAGCAGGATGAATGTGCCCCCAGTCACCCTGACAACCAGAAGATATGAAATGGGATGAACCCTCAACAAGGGAAGTGCCTAACGTTTACGTGTTTGCAGTGTTGGACAACTTAGCATCATGAGTGTGCAGTGGAATTATGATTCGACTAAAAATTCCCTTTTTAGAATCTTAAAAGTCTGAGTTCTCTTCACTGGCTAGCATGTCGTTTATACATTCTTTCACAAGCAGAGAGCAGCTGCCATAGACCAGGCACTATGCTAGATTTTGAGAATATCAGAAAACACAAAAGCACACTTTTGCCATAGAGGAACTTAAAATCAACTGGGGAGGGATGGATTTGAAAACGGCACCATGAGAATGGAGGACGTTCACACTGACACCACACGTGTTTAATGATCTTCCCTTTTGTGTATCCTGCTTGCTGGTTCTGAAAACCACGGGCATAGCATGTCTTTCTCGCAGATTCAGTAATCTTTTAAGCTGCCCTTCTGGAGTTTCCATGACAGAAGCTTTGGAGGTGGATGTGCTAGACTAATCAATCTATATAGATTTTCTTTTCCTAGCAAATTTATAGAGCTGATGTTACAGAAACCCTTGACCTAAGAGTATTATCCTCTAATGAAAATGCCAGTTGGACTTACTGGAATCAGGCAGTTTGTGGATAGGATTTCTGAGAATGTTTCAAAATCAAGCACAAATTCTAGTCGAATGCAGCTGTGCAGATCCCAACCAGGGCTGGGTGAAGGCAAGCGGGGAAGTGGTAGAAATTGCCTCTGGACCACTCCGTGTGTCTTTGGGAACTTTCTGCATATCTCACTGTGTGTTATGTCCATGGCTGAGCCTCTGCCCTGATCCACAGCCTCCACTGCTGACCCACTGCTCCAACTATGATGACGTCACTTCCCACAATTTTCTGGGTATAGTAATAATAAGAGAAATTTAAAAGATTGTATTCAAGAAATAAGCCTACCTAAAAATGTAATCCCACCAAGATAGTGCTTTCAACATCTCATGAGAGAAATGCCTCTGGGGCCCTTTCTGGGTTCCATTTAGAAACACGAGGGAATGTTATAATGCTGTTGAAATCATCAGGTTGTGCTAGCTACACACTCAGGCTACTGGAACACATCATTTTGTAAGATTCAGGACATGACTCACTGTAAACATTATCAACTTTAACTTCAGTTGTATCAACGCCTGCATCTACTGGGATGTGAACTATAGATGACTTGCAGCACAGAAATTGTGCCCAGCATTCTATGTCATAAAACAGAGGTCTAAGATTTGAAAAGCACAAACTCACCAAAGATATAGAAGACATAAGGCCATCCCAGGGTCTGGCAGAGGATCCCGCCAGCCAGGAGAATGACCACGGCCCCCAGCGGTGACCCTAGACAGAAGATGTAAGGAGGCTCTGGGTGAGAGGGTCATGCTTGGGACTCTGTGCTTCCCACAGACAACCCTTCACAAGGGCGAGCTGCACGCCAGCCCCTCGGGGTCCAAATCCTGGCTCTTCCCTCAGCAGCTGTGTGACCCTGGATAAGTTATCAGTTTCCTTGTGTCTCACTTTCCCTTATGTGTGAGTAGAAATAAATATATAGATGAGCTATAAGAAAGCTCTGCGGCCAAAATGAAACCACCATGTGCAAAGCACTTACAAGAGTGCCGTCACACAGCAAGCGCTCCATGGTGAGCAGGAAAGGTGGTGCAGGGCAGGGCTTTGGAGCAGGACACACAGAAGCTGGGGTACAAGCTCTTGCTTCTGTCGAGAGGCCACTGCAGGGTCCCCTTGGACAGTGCACGTAGGTGGTGAGGAAGGTATGAATTACCTGATACAGTGATGCCGATGAGTTGATTCCTTTCCAGGGGGGGAGCCCATTTCACCCAGATTGAATACTGACCTATTGATATCATAACCTGAAAAGAACAAAGGCCCATTACTGGCTCCCTGAGGCAGCTGGGGGCCCTCTGTCCCACTCTTACTTAGAAAACGTCTTGGTACCTGAGCTATGCCTTGCACCGTCCGAAGGACAATGAGCAGGCCCACTCCAGCGTCAGCTGCCAGTGGAATGAAGAGGTTCAGGGCTGAGGAAATAAACATGGCAGCACCGACCAAGTACCTGATTCCAAATATGCCAACCACATAGCCGCCAGGGACTGAAGCCAGCAGCGAGCCGTAGCTGAGGGAGCTGAGGACGACCCCCTGGATTTCAGGACTCCAGTCATACACAGGTGCCTAGGTGACAAGGAGAATCTCACTGCTTGTCTTTGGCTAGAGTTGACCATGTTTATTGTGAACGCTTGAGAGGCAAAAAACAACCAACCGTTCTCTCTTCTTTGACCTCTGTCTGATTCCTCCAATGTACCAATTTCATTAAAAAAAACCACCTAAATGTGCCTACCATACTCTTCCCTGACACAATTTCCCCAGCTATGTAATTAACTAAGGAATTAATATATAAGACAGCCTGTAAAGAAAGAAAACCCATGAAGAAGAGAGCATCTTAGGCAAGGTAAGACGAAATATGTGAAGGAATTAAGTGGACCTAACTCTAACCTCCTCTGTGGTGATTTTCATCATTGTAGGGGAAGAATTTTCATCTAGTAAATGGTACAATCTGTTTGCTCAGTTCTAACTTAGCCCTCGGTTACACCCAGACACTAAGCAAGAGCATCATCTCTTTAGCTACCTCTGTTCTTGTGTAATACAGTTCCCTGAACACAGCAGATACTCTGCGAACAGCCCTTCAGATCAAGCCACTGGAGTCAAAAAAGGGGTCCAGGGTCTCTTTAAACTTACCACTACCTCCGATGCCTGTAGCGTTTCATTCCAGCTGTTTGGGGAGCCAGTGGGCGGCCTTTCTGTGGAGGCGTTGGGCAGGCTCAGCATAGTCGTGCTGTTCACCATTGCTGGGATGGCAATGCTCAAGTTCATTTGTTGGGTCAAAATCGAAAAATTACAGAGCTGCAAGATGAGGGCCATCCAGTATCGGACCAAACAAGAGCCTGAGAGGAGAGGACACGGCAAGTCTTATAATCAGGTTCCCCTCTCCCTGCTTCCTCTCCCAGACAGGAGAGGGAGAAGATGGCAGTCGCTCCGAAGCAGATGCACAGTGAGAGCAAATGTTGCTCTGTTGGGGTCTGGCAGACACTTGTACCCCTGGGAGGTGAGGGGGCTGATAACGCACTGGCAACCATTTCTCAAGCACAGACTTGGAGAATGTGTGGGACCGGCCAGGGCACACACAGAAGCCATCTTCCAGGCAGGGCTCTGGGATGAGCCAATGAGTGGAAATGGAAGAAAGATGGGCAGAAGGACTCGGCTGCAAGTAGTGGTGGTTGGGTATGGAGAAGAAGAGAAGTGGTGGGATGTGGCTCCCAAGTGCCCCACCTGGGCAGCTGGGATGGCTTTCAGGACCTTGGATAATCAGGGAACATGGCAGCTTAATATGTTTGGGGACTGGGAGAAGATCAGACTTGCAAGGTAGGCTAGGCTAGCTTGATACTGTAATCTAGGTACTTAACCTCGAACTTCATCTTGATACTAGAATCTAGGTTTGCACAAAAATTGCCAGTGACCCGTGGGAGCGCTTCTTACCCCTGAGGGTGCGTGGAGATACACGGTTTGACAACTGGAAGGATAGATTAAATCCCAGAGGTAATAGGTGATCACTGACCTCACGGTACGTGGGTGCCCCGTTCCCTGGTTCCTGCCAGGGAGCAAAAGGCCAACGCTGTTTGCTGGTGAGTAGTGAAACTCTCGTTAAGCTCCAGCCGTTGGCAGACAGATCTCCGCCTTTGGCTTAACTTTGGGAGCATTTAGTTGAGACTGTACCCTCCCTCGTGCAGACAAATTTACATTGGGATGTTGATCAATATCATATTGATATGGCCGATGGAATTAAGACGAACTGCCTCATTTACAGTTTGGCTTTCTCCCAGCCGAGAATGGAGGTGCTCCCCAGGTATTCAAGTCCTTTTGTCTGTCCCAAGGTGGGATTGTATACTTATCTTCAGGTAAGTCCCGACATGTTATTTGAAAGTGCTTCTTCTTGTCTCTAGAACAGTTATTTTTCCTATCATTTCCACCTTATGTCTCCCTTGGATTTAGACAAGAAAACTACACACACCCACACACACTATACAAATAATGGGGGGAAAAACCAGATGACTAATTTTGCTGCTTGTAACATTTTTTTCATTCTCCTGGGTAATTTTATTCACTGGCAGTTTCTAAACAATGTCAGGTAGGAAAGGTGAGGGGGTGCCCCTGCCGTACCCATTTACTGGGCATGCTTCCCACGTGACACCATTAAGGTATGCTGCTGCTCGTTGGTGGGACCTGTACTTGTATTAAGTTATTCTATTTCTTTTTCTCATTTTTATGAGATTGCGTGAGTTTTGTAAAATGTATATCAATCCTAGAGTCAGACACCTGGATCTGTTCTATTTCCCGCTGTCCGTTCTTGGGCAAGTTACTGAGCTCTTTGCAGCCTCAGTATTTACCTGTAAAATGACAATAGAGCCTATCTCAAGATGCTGTGATGAGAATTAAGTAAGTTTATGTAAGTTCATTGTTATCAGTAACATGTCACTATCCTTACATTTTTGGAATGATCCCTTCATAACAGGCTGTTTTAATTTTTGCCATGGTAGCTAGTAAAGGAGGCAACTTGGAAGCTTTCCATTTCAATCTGTGAACTGAAATATTGGGTTGTCGGAAAAGTCAGGACTCATTTTTGTAATGAAAAATAGAAAAAAATACATCATGACTTTTCCGACAACCCAATATTTTAGGTGCATGGCTTTTCCTTAATACAATTTTCTAGGGCGGTTTAGATTTATAGAATTGAGTTCCTGTATATCTGACACCCTTTTTTCCTTTTATTAACATCTTGAGAATTCATCTCCAACAGCAGTCCCCAGCTTGGAGTGAAATGGAGACATCACTGCAATACCTCAGTCTAAGGAGTTTGGGGAGGCAGCTTAGTGCTACAAACTTGCCCACAGAAAACCACTTGTAATAGGATGTGAAAGTATGCTGTCCAAGCAGCAGTGAAGCTGGCTTATATAGACATGAGTGCCTGCTCCGGTCCCAGATTGGTCCATTTCTATGCAAATATGGAATCCAAATCTGCACAGTTTGATTGGTCCAAATAGCACCATCCTGATTGGTCAGAATGGAGCTGCTCTGGGGCCGGCCGAGTGGTGCATTGGTTAAGAGCTGGCTTGGGACGCCAGAGGGCCCCGGTTCGGATCCCACATGGGGGCCAGTGACACTGCCCTCCGCAGCTAAGATGCTGAACAACAGCTCAACTTGGAGCTGGGCTGCCATGAGTCGCAGGCAATGGCGTAGGCTGCAACCCCTACTGCAGTGGGTTGCCATGGGCTACCGTGTGTAGCCAGCAGCCAGCGTGAGTGGCCAGCAGCCACCGTGAGCGGCCATCCAGAAGCCAGCGACTGATCTGCCTCACCCAGGAAGAGCGCAATGATGGTGCCAACTTGGGCCAGTGAAGCAACGTCCTCCACAACTAGACTGAAGAACAAAACGACAGCAACTTGTCTGTTCCCCTTCCCCAAATTCCCCAGTGCTGTTCCCATCCCTCAATTTCCCAATAAAAATCTTAAAAAAAAAAAGAATGGAGCTGCTCTGATTGGTCAGTGTAAATGCAAGTGAGACTATAACTGTGCAGCTCTGGAAATCCTCAGTCCTACTGGTTGAATTTCAATTCTTGGGAGCTCTCTAATAAGCGTTGACCCAGTTGGCAGGAGCATAGTGCAAGAGCCTTGGCAGCCCAGTCTGTGGCTTTTTCCTGGATTGCAGCATGCTTGAGAGTTCTCTGTAAACAATGGCTGCTATTGTAGATTCTGGTTAGGAATTTGGGCGTAAGTAACCACAAAGAGTCCTTTATGGCAAGTATGTTCTTCTCAACATTAATCTGGTACATCTGTCACAACATGAGCGAACATCCTCTGATGTATTATTGGTAATGTTTTATTCAGACATTTTTACCTAATGCCTTTTGTCTGTTCCACAATTCTATTCAGGATTCCACAGTACTTTTAATTGTCACATATCTTGGGATCTTCTGACAACTTCTCAGACCTTTTTGTTTGTTTGTTTTTGATGACCTTGACAACTTTGAAGAGTTCCAGTCATATTTTATAGTGTCCCTCAAGAGGGGTTTTTCTGATGTTTTTCTCATGATTAGACTGAGGCAATGTGTTTTTGAGAGGAAGACCATTAGAGGTAAACTGTCATCATCATCACATCGTACGAAGACACATCCTTCAGCACGATTTATCACTGCTGCCATTGGCCTTGATCACCAGGCTAAGGTGGTGTCGGTCAGGTTTCCCACTGTGAATTTCCTGGTTTTTTCTCCCTTTCCATATTGCTCTCTGGAAAAAGTCACACACACAGTCCACACTTGGAGTGAGGAGCTATGCTCCACCTTCTTAAGGCGATATCTACATAAATTACTTGAATTTCTTATGTCAAGGTGCATTGGCATTTTCTGCTCCCTAAAAATCTCACAGGACTTTTCTTGTGAAACTAAAAGGATTTTGTTGTAACAGGGGTAACTTTTTGACAGCTTTTTCCACTTCTTACATATTTTTTGACATTTATACTTATTTAAATTCAACTTTATAAGTTATATTTTCACAGAAAATCATGTACTTTATTGATTTACCCTGTAATAAGACCCCATACATTTTAAATGCTCCTGTCTTCCCCCACATGATTACTTGTATTTAATCTTTCTGCCTGATCAATCTGAGTAGTGATTATGTGTTATATTGCTGTAAATGGCATCTTTTTTTTTTTTTTTTTAAGATTTTTATTGTGGAATTGCGGGGATGGGAACAGTGCTGGGGAATTGAGGGAAGGGGAACAGACAAGTTGCTGTCGTTTTGTTCTTCAGTCTAGTTGTGGAGGACATTGCTTCACTGGCCCAAGTTGGCACCATCATTGCGCTCTTCCCGGGCGAGGCAGATCGGTCGCCGGCTTCTGGACGGCTGCTCACTGCGGCTGCCGGCCGCTCACGCTGGCTGCTGGCTACACACAGTAGCCCATGGCAACCCACTGCCACAGGGGCTGCAGCCCACGCCGTCGCCGGCAACTCACGGCAGCCCAGCTCCAGGTTGAGCTGTTGTTCAGCATCTTAACTGCAGAGGGCAGTGTCACTGGCCCTCATATGTGGGATCCGAACCGGGGCCCTCGGCATCCCAAGCGAGTTCTTAACCATTGCGCCACCCGGCCGGCCCTAAATGGCATCTTCTTTACTAAAGAATCAGCTCTTGTGTATATATAATTATTTTTTTAAAAAGATTTTAATTGGGGAATTGGGGGAGGGGAACAGCGCTGGGGAATTGAGGGAAGGGGAACAGACAAGTTGCTGTCGTTTTGTTCTTCAGTCTAGTTGTGGAGGACATTGCTTCACTGGCCCAAGTTGGCACCATCATTGCGCTCTTCCCGGGCGAGGCAGATCGGTCGCCGGCTTCTGGACGGCTGCTCACTGCGGCTGCTGGCCGCTCACACGGGCTGCTGGCCGCTCACGGTAGCCCATGGCAACCCACTGCAGCAGGGGCTGCAGCCTATGCCATCGCCGGCGACTCACGGCAGCCCAGCTCCAGGTTGAGCTGTTGTTCAGCATCTTAGCTGTGGAGGGCAGTGTCACTGGCCCTCATATGTGGGATCCGAACCGGGGCCCTCTGGCATCCCAAGCCAGCTCTTAACCAATGCGCCACTCGGCCGGCCCCTTGTGTATATTTTTTATTTCAATTTTTTTCATGATTTGAGTTTACATTCTTTCTACACATAAGTTGTCTATTTCAGTTTTCCACATACTTTTCTCAAAATTGTAGACTCAGTGAATTGGATGCTTAATTAAGTTGCTTCATTTATTCCTGTACAGTCTTTGTTTTCTGTCTTTCTTCATACCCATCACCTTTTGATCCACTATCTTGCCCCTCCGCATTTTCCATGACTGTTTCAAACCTCGGCTCTACGTTGCTGATTTGATTTTCTGTAGTGGTAACTTTTCTTATGACTGCTAATTCCATTTTAATTCTGAAGTGACAATTTTTTTCCTCTTTAGTTTCCTTTCTCACCTATATTGGATTGTTCTTTCATATTTTCCTGTTGATTTACTTCTTACACTGTAAGCTTGATTTTTAAAAGTTATTCTTGAGAACTCGAAGAAATTGGAAATAAAATTATTATTCTTCAGTTTTCCTAGATAAAATAAGGACAGGAGTGTAATGTAATGGTTAATTAGATCGCTCTGGTTTGAATCCAGATGACAAGCTTTTGTGCCTGGATGACTTAAATGAGTTACGTAATCCCACTATGCCTGAGTTCTCGCTCATGTAAAATGGAGATGACCTCAGGGGCACCTTCCCTGAAGTATTGTTGGGCGGAGGGGATACTGTGTGAGAATAATAATGATAGCTAACCTTGATATCGTGTTTATTATGTGCCAGGCATGGATCTGAATGGTTTACATACTATAAGTAATTTAATTCTCATGGAAAGCCTATGAGGTAGGTACTATTATTATCATCTCATTTTTACAGATAAGGAAACTGAGACAGAAAGTTTAAGTAACTTGCCTAAGGTCACAGCTCACAAATGGCAAAACAGGGTCAGAAACACAGGCAGTCTGACTTCCAACCCGCTCTTCCCCAATATTGTTTTTACACAGAAATTCTCTATATTACTGATTTGGGGAGAGAGAAAGAGTTGGCATAGGAGAACTTGGCCTAAGGAGAACTTGGCCTAAGGAGAACTTGGCCCAATAGACTCCTAGATATTTTGAAATGGATGAGGTCTTAGGGGTACAAGAGTCAAACTCTTGCATTTTACAGATGAGAAGCTGAGGCAATGGAGTAACATTCATTCCAGGTCAAATGGTTAATAGGTAATTGTGGCGTGAGTGTTAGAATGCACGTATCCTGATACGTCTTCAATGGATAAGATTAGGAGAATCCTCTTTTCCTTAAAACATACTCACTTCCCAGCAGACATCCTGGCTAAAACACTGAACATAGCAAAGCATTCCATCTCCGTTAGTATTTTACTTTTTAAAGGTATTATCATCGTATGAAAAGCTTATATCCTTAAGAAAATTAATGAACAACAGGGCTATAAGTCATTCAGAATTTAGAGTAAAATAAAGTGTTCAACAGTTTTCGTTATGATGCATTATACAAAAGCACAAAGTTGTAATATAGGTGAGAGGAAGGAGGAAAAGCGACTTCTATGATATGGTGTAAAGGAGAAGCATGTTCTCCGTGAAGCAGGTCCAGACCTAATACAAGCTGAGACCGAATGTTCCACCCCAATGTGGAGTCCGAAAAACCAGGGTTGCTTTCCATACTTCCCACTCAGCAACTGCTCTGGGCTTTTCCTTCATCTGTAAGTAATGTCTTGATGCCTACCTAATGCCTTCAAGGTTTCTTACAAGAAATGAAATCATTCTCACTAAAAATTCTGTATAGCCATATAGACTTCTTGGCCATTGGTGGTAGCAAGACGATGTTGTATAGCATCAAAAGGGAGATTGAGGCGACAGGGACCCCGGTTTTATCCCCAACCGGTCCATGCTTTTACCTTTCCTGGAGCTTTGTGTTTGAGCCGCGTTTAAATCACCATCGTTGGAAATACCTGCCTCTGGGGCCTTGGCTTCTGCTGTAGCAGACATGTTGGTTCTCATCGTCCCGCTCCTGGCGTTTACTGACTGAAATAGAAGAGTGTCAGTGTAAATGCAGAGAAAGAGAAGTAGCCTTTATGATATGTGACTCGGCCTCGGCTCTTCTCTCTTGGGATGTGGAGGAAATGCATGGTGGAAAAAGTGCTGGATTCGGGCTTGTCGTCCAGACTCTATCACTAGCCAGCTGTGTGACCTTGGGACGGTCACAGTTATCCTGGGTCTTAGGTTCTGCTTCTCTCAAAAGAGGGATCTGGCCTGCATGGCCTGAAGGGATTGTCATGGTCTCTCCAGCTCTGTGTCCCCATGTCTCTCAACTGAGATCAGTATCAACTGGATGTTAAAACTCGACAACCTTTTTTGAAATTTCATCTGGAAGATTCCAGTGGACTAAATTACCTGAAAAACTGTGTGTTTTAATCATCTAGATATACTAAATAAAATATAGCAAACAACCTTTTAAATACATAGCTCCAAAGATAGTAAGTGATAGCCCCATAGATGTAATGAAAAGTTAGGACAAACTTTATTCAGTGACCCTGGGACTGGGGTGGGTACTTTTAAATAAAGTTTGGAGTTGTGTGCTTTTCATCAAACTGGACCTATTAATTATAACATGAGCTTATCTGGAGGCTGAAAATAACCAATGGGCTTTTTACTCTCTGAAAATAATGAGAAGTTTCGGGCCAAGCAGATGTCAAGGGCAGTGGGTGTGGGGCGGGGTTGCTGGTGAAATAAATTGTTTCTACTTCCTCTCTGTGGAGCAGCACTTCTGTTCATATAATGGCAAATGTCTCTCTGATTCTTTGATGATATTGTTTTTAACCAGAAGTGGAAATGCTCAGCCTGGGCAGGTCCCCACTAGAGCTGGTAAGTGTGACTGCCTGCTTAGTGCAGACTGGCACACAGGCTGCCTCATCCCATCCTCAGAAGCACAAGGGAGGGCCCAGGGGCCCTCCAGCCAGCTCTGGAACTCAGAAATACATCCCAAGTTAAATGGAAATCCAGGTCAGTGCTCATTGTCAACACGGAGTGACTCTGGTGACTGAGAAGAAAGCGTCACACGAAGGGATGGGACATCCTGCTCATCGTATGTGTCCACACCGTAGGGAACTGAGCTGAAGGAAGGGATCCTGAGTCACAAGAATTGGCGACAGGGCTTTCGGGGTAACCTTTCCCAGGGGGTGTACTTGTCAGGACTCTAGTGACCCAGTGCCTGCGAGGTCACTGACCCCTCGTTCACGCACCGCTCCGTAAATATTTGTTGAACACCAATGAATGGAGGCAGTGTCCTGCTCCCCTCGCTCTTCTGCATTTGTGACTGGAGGACTCAGTTCTCACGAAATCGCCCCTCTCTGTCCTCATTATGACAGGGGCCCTGGCTGGTTTCCTGTCCCCGGAAGCCCGGCCTGTGGCTGGGGGCAGCCCCCCCGCCCCCTGGCTTTGTCCTGCTCCCCCTCCACCGCCAACGGCCTCTGCTCTGTGGACTCCAGCAAAGCCTCCAGGAGGGGCACAATATGAAGAGAGAGGAGGGTTTTTGACATTTGCTATGAAGGAGATGAGAACAGCGGTGACAGCAACTGTAACTGGCATCCTGAGAAGAGGGCCACTCCTCACTCCTTCTCCAAGTCGGCTCCACCTGCTTTATGAGAGGTGCAGCCGAGCTGAAACGGGGATGGTGAGGAGGCAGGCTGGGGGGAGTGCGCCCCAGGCGAAGGGGCCCATGCCGCGTGAGCCAGGGTGCTACAGGCTGGTGGGGCCCGGAGTCCCCCCACTGCTGTGTGGGGCATGGGAAGCGGGAGACACAGGCAGAGCCTGTCCTATCCACCTGGGCAAGAGCGAACGGCGTCAGGTGGCTGGTCCTGGTGGTGAGGTCAGGCTGGGGGCCATTTTGGGAGACAGCCAAGAAGAACTGCTACTGAGGTGGATATGGGGACGAGGGGGCATCATCAGATTTAGGGCTGAGCAAAGGAGCGCATGGTGCTGCGCTCCGTGGGGACGGGGAACGAGGGAGAGGGGCAGGTTTCCAGAAGGGAAACAAGAGTATCGTTTGCACATGTGGGTGTCACACGCCTGTGAGACCTGGGGAAGCACTCCGTCTATGGCTGTAGCTTGGGACAGAGGGTCCAGGTAGAAATAGGAATTTGAAAGCCATCAGCCTTATCGAGTTCTTTAGCGACCAGGTGAATGAGGAAGAATAAGCCAAGTAATTGGGCCAGTCATTCTTCTATCAATTTCCTGTCCGTTTCTCAGGCCCGGATGGATTCTGTGTCTATTCCCTTTGTATTACCATACGCCCTGCTCTTCTGCTGTTCACTAGTTCACTGCAGAAGGAGACCTTTCCTGCAGGTGCCAGGTGGGGCTATGAATAGTTCAAATGCCACCCCCAGTGGCCTCAGCACTGGGCATTTCCTTCACGTGAGCAGCAGCTCCTGGCTCTTATTCTTGGCCTCCAATAAAAGTCCTCTGCCCCAAACGCTTCCCTCGTTAACTTTCCCAAAGCCATGAGGGATCTCATGTCTTTTCCCAAGTGTTTCAACGACGCAGAACTTACCGGAAAGGTCTGGTCTGTTCTGATTGCTCTGGTCTTCCAGCCCTGGGCAGGACTCCCTCTGCCAGAACCTAGCATTTGCGTGCAGTCTCACCACAGATGTGATCGGCGCTCTAAAAAAATTATTGTTGGTGGGCCGGCCTAGTGCCTCAGTTGGTTAAGAGCTCGCTCAAGAGTTTGAGTTCTGAGCAACAGCGGTTCGAGTCCTGGCCCGAGCTGAGCAGCCGCTGAGCTACTAACAGGTGGCAGGATGGCTCAGCTAAAAAAAAAAACTAAAAAAAAAATTATTGTTAATGCATCCCACAAAAACAAGCCCAATATTTGGAACTTAAGCTTCAGGTCATCTAGTCTAGTCCCAATATTGGGGTAATATTAGCCCTTGAAAAGTACAGTTTCAAATTTCATGTTTCTGCAATGTAGATGTTAGATCATTCAGACTCGCTCTGCAGCTATTCTTTGGGGTGACTGTTCCCTGGATTTTTGGGGCTCGTTTCTTTTAGGAAAAGGTGACATCCTCTTTCACTTCTCAGAATTGTCTCAGGAAAGATGAATTCTTTTCCCCACCCCGTAATCTCTACCCCAAAACAGCAAATCAAGCTGCTCTCTCTACGGGGAAAAGACCCATTCCCAACATCTCAAAAACAGAATGGTAACAACAGACAGAGCGACGGCTGACCTGAGGCGGGTGGAGCGCGGGGCCCTCATTCCTCTCACATAAGCCCCTCCAAGCTTTACCAAGTTTCCTGATCTCCAGGAGGTAAATGATTACCCCAAACCTTTAGCCCTGTGTTACCAAATGGGAAGGTTCTATTGGCTCAATGGTTTAATTTTTAACTTTACTTTTATTGTTTAATTAACGAGTAGATCAAGCTCATTACACCTTCCTCGTGCTTCAGGCCCAGGTCATTTATATCGTCCCTGATCTTCCATCAGCACCAACGTCCTTTCTCCCAGGAGCCTGACGCCCCACAAACCTTATCTACAGCATGGTCACCTCAGGGAGTCCCTCAGGGTTACTGTGTTCTTCACGAGGTTGGGTATGTCTTGTTTCTTCTTAGTCCTCTCTCCAGCATCCTTCTGTTTAATAGAACCGAGCTTTCCACAGAGTGGAGACTTCGTTAATGTGAATGATGTTTGTGGTTTTCTGATTATTGCCATTTGCACACAGGCCACTGAGGTTTTTCTATGTGAAAACTGACACCCTGTGATTCTGATCCCTTTTGTAACAAAACATTTCACAAGACTCATGCTTGCTTGTGATCTGTTTCCTCACGTTCCGTTCTCAGCCCACTCGCAACTAGAACGCGTGTGGCAAAGCCACCAGCAGCCTCCATACTGGCAAAGCCAGTGGTCACTTCCAGGCCACATCTGTCACTGCCTGACAGCATTCAGCACTTCAACATTTTCGCTGCAACATTTGTCTGTAGTTGAATGATATTTCCATGCAGCTGACTGTGGCGTTCCATTTAATCCACGAGCTCAGTTTTCCAGAAAGGAAGTTTGGGAGAGCAGATGCACACGTGTCAGTCTGTAGAGACGAGACAAGGGCTGGGGTTTCGTGGAGGGGCGGCGACGAGTTAAGAAATCACAAGTACACGTTGCTATATTTTTGTGTTTTTCAAGAATGAATAACAATAGGACATTTTTATACTTGAAAGTAATCGTTTATTTTAATAAAATGTAGCACCTTACCTGTATTTACTTAAAAATATAAATTCTGTAATTATTTTCTGTGGATTTTTGACACATTTTGGAGAACAAACTTGTAATCACTTATCACAGTGAAAAGGTTAATGCCCTGTTCCACGTGGTTGTCACATACCATTCCAGTCTGATTGTCCTCTGAACCTTTTTGCTGAATCCTCATCTTTTCTGTAACCTCTACTGTTGCTGTAGCGAGGACCCTGGCCTTGAACTTCTTCCCTATCTGACTACACTCACTCCCAAGGGAGCCCATCCAGTCCCCTGCCCTTGCCTGCCCTTCCTCGGAGCTCTGGACTTCATGTCCCCAGCTGCCTTCATCTGTGGTTGAGGCTGCATTTCCAGCAAGTTCCCTGCCATCCAGTGAGCTAGGCCTTCCCCAAGAAGGCCTGGGTCTCCTGCTGTTCTTTCAGTCTGTGGTTCCTCTATTTCAAGTGATTTTTATTCTTATTAGCCAACTCCCCCCTTTATCCAGTCCCCTGAGTTAACAATTCTTAATATGAAATGCTCCCTATTCAGATAACTGTGTGGTTTCCCTCTCCGGATTGGATGGACTGGTACAAATGTATACTCGCCTTTGTGCATGTTACTGAATATTGAACCATTTGGATCATAGATTGTCCTCGTGTGCTAATTATTTCATGTTCTCCCAGAGTTGAACTCTAATGAATGTCATAAATAAGTCACTCACTCTGAAAATTTTTGAGCATGTTGTCTTCATTAGGTTTCATCATGTTGTTGTATTTTCTACATAAATAGAAATGAAATGTATTTCTGTGTAATTTATCTGTGGTTCAGTTTTCTCCTATAATTCCTGAAATTTCTCTGCCTCTTTTTGAGCAAAAGAACCCCACAGCTGCTATCCACATACACTGAGATAGATAGGTAGATAGAGCACACAAGTACTTAATTCAAGGAACAATTGACTCTCATAAACTTATTCTCAGCTATCAAATTACATTCTTTCTTCTAATCTTATGTTATTCCTTTTAAAGATCTTTAGACTTTTCTTCACATTACTGCACGTTTTGTTTTCGTTTGTCCCAAATCTCGATAGCTTTTGTATATGTGTGTGATAAATAGTGGGTATATGGAATATATTGTTTTACTTTATAGCCCAATAGTTGAGAGATTTTTTTTTTTCAGTAATATGTTTGGGTTTCTCTTTTCCGTTCTTTCTTTAGATGTTTCTCTGTATACAGTGCCATAAATCAACTGCTTATAAAACTCCTTGACTAATATTCTTGACTATATCACAAAATGTCATCAAATAATGATGGTGAAGCCGACAGTTAACAGTAAACATGGTTAGGCATTGCATCAGCGTCTGGAGAAGCAGGTATGGGCTTTAACTAAGGGTTTCCATCACTTTGGTTGTCAGGTAGCTCATACTCAAAGGTTAAGAAAGAATGTCAGTCATGTCCTGGAGGCCTGCCTGTCAAGCAACTTCAGGAAAGATGTTTAAAGGGCACTGTGCTGGAGATGATAGAGAAATATCTAGTCAAGCACAAATGATAGCTTAAACAATAAGTGTTCACAAGATGTTTAGTTTCTGCTTTTTGCTTAAAAGATAATATCGCTAATGCACAATCATGAGATGTTTTGCAGAATCTTGGTTCTTCAACCCAGTGAGATCACCTGACCACAGTTACAATAAAATATATAAAAATTTCTGGTTTTGCTAAGCACTTGTTAAATGTAATATAGGTAATTATGCGTACTTGCCCTTATAGCAAAATTTGAATTTACCACTTTTGGTGGAGGGTTAGCACAAATATTACATTCAATTTGAAAACAAAAACTAAAATAAAACTAGCTATTAAAATTTTTCAGGAAATTGGGAAAATTTGAAAATAAACTAGGTATTAGGGAATTGTTAATTTTCCTAGGTATGATAATGGTATTACTAGATAATATCCTTTTTTTTTCTTTTAAAGATTTTTTTTTTTTATTGGTGAATTGGGGGGATGGGAACAGTGCTGGGGAATTGGGGGAAGGGGAACAG